AAAAAAAAAAAGAGGTTATGAAAGGCATAAATAAATATTAAATAAAGGTCATAGTAGCTGGGCGTGATGGCATGTGTCTATAATTTTATCTACTGGGGAGGTTGAGGCAGGAGGACTGAGTATGAGGTCAGCCTGGGCAACTTAATAGGCCCTGTCTAAAAAAAAAAGAAAGAAAGGCTAGTAAAGGGTATTAAAAAAAGGTAGGCTGCCAAAGAGAAGTCCTTCAGCCTTAGGTGCCTTTGTAGTTCTATAGTTCAAGGAAGTTAGGAATCACAGCTCCAAGTCAATAGGAAAATGAAAAGTCTTCACAGCTTATTTCCTTTAATTACATCATAAACAAAATTAGAACATACAGGAAACAATAATAGTTACATAACAATTTATATATTTATATATAAAAACATTTCTTTTTTTAGTCCAAAGATTTTAAAGCAAAAGGAATCCTCTAATGCCATCTTGGATTTTATTTATTTTAAATAACTCCCCCTCCAGCCATCCTTAAGTGCCAATAATATTGAAAGGAAATCACTCACTTGGACAGCTAATGGAACCTGGTGTTAAGTCACCATGTAGGGACTGTGGGGCCAGTGGGAAAAAGCAGCAATTCCCACACACTGAAGCACTCCTGAGCAGGCTGAGTAGCTATGGGGGCAGGGACCAGACCCTGTACTCCACCCACTCTGCATTTCACCTCTTAGGGGGAGTTGGATGGGATGCAGGGATCAAACAGCTTGGTTTGAAAGTAAGAATTTCTCCAACAGCACCATTTACCCATCCATCTCTGTTCACAGCAGAGTCTGACAGGCATGGGTAGTCCTCACAGTTCTCTGAGCTCTGCACAGGCCACATCACTCAGGTCTGTGCTCTCAGGGTCACTGGAAGGTGGGCAAAGGTGAGCAGAGCAGCTGGAAAATGTAGGCAGCAGGTTAACTGGAAACAATTCCTAGAAGGAAAAGGGAGGAGGCCAGAGTGGGACGCATCTGAAGGCTGAGTGATAAAACAAGAGTGGAGAAAGGCAAAATTAAGAAGCCTCTCTCCCTATACAGTAACCCTCTGCAGTGGGTAGTCACAGATCCTTGGGGGTCAGCTCTTGGGCTGCAGCATGATGAGGAAAACATGGAAAGATTCTGGTGAGCCTGGTCCTCATGGTTCTTGTACATGTGCCAACAGGCTCTGAGAGTAAGAATTAGTGTGTGATGTGGGGGTGGGAAGAGGAGTAGGAGAAGAACTCACAGGCTCACCCCTTTTTGTACTCATTAAGAAATTAACAGTCACCAGAGAAGTACAGATAAAAAACTATTCTTAAGAGAAGGGAAGAACTTGATGAAAACCCAGGAAAGTAGCAGCAAAGGTTTCACTTATTAAAGATTATGTAGCACTAAGAAAGAAAATCATTTGACTTGGGTAGAGAGATAAAGTAATTAACCAAACCATACCAGTTAAAGACTTTTTTTTCAAGTTAGGATTTTCTGTCTTTAGGCTCTCATTCTCTTGTGCCAAAAAAAAAAAAAAAAAAAAAAAAGAGTAGATTAATAACTTCAGGAGCTGAGAAGGGTTAGGCTAAGAAACACATGTGTGAGCAGCAGTGTGGCATAGATCTGAATTAATAAGAGTAAGTAGTAAGTGGGGCAATGTTTTCTTCTTCCACAGTAACAACAATAAAAAATAAACACATTACTTCAAATATTTCCCTGTTTGCAGGGGGTGGAGGGCATGGCAGAAGAGAAGAAGTACATGTCTGGACACCTCATTTCTGACATCTCTTCTTCATGTTAGAATTCTAGTTTACTGCCTACATGTTCTTGTCCTGGTACTAAAGCCATGCCCAGAAGCAGCTGGGAAGCCCTGGTGGTTCTTCCAGGGGTGCCAATCTCCATCTAGATGATCTGGTTAGAGATGTAGAAAAGAAGCCCGAATCGCCAGTCAAGGACACAGAGTTCATCATACAAAGAGGAAAGTAGGGGCTGGGGATGTGGCTCAAGCAGTAGCGCGCTTGCCTGGCATGCATGCGGCCTGGGTTAGATCCTTAGCACCACATACCAACAAAGATGTTGTATCCGCCACTAACTAACTAATTAAATAAATATTAAAAAAAAAAAAAGAGGAAAGTAAACCTCCTCAGGTGTGAGGCAGCTGTGGCTATGTGCTCAGGACAGATGTTGACCTTGAGGCAAAGGACCTCAGTTCTAGAACTGATTTGTTCCTTTCTTTTGAGCCTCACATACCATTTCCTCATGCCAATTTTTCAAAATAAGACACTGGAAAACACACAAAATAAAAAGGTTTACTTGCTCATGGTTTTCCCTAAAAGGGCAATAAACTACTCTGGCTGAGCAAACACTGAGACTCAACATCTGTCAACTGAACTCTATAATGGCTTAAGCAAATAGCATGTGAAACAGAGATGGACATTTTCTAGCATTTCACATGTAAGTTTGTCCAAAAAACTTTTTCCTGAAAATTAATTGTAATTTTCTTGGGATTCCTAAGGTTCCCTCAGACGCAGCTGAGAGATTGCATACTGACTTTCCTAATAATCAAAAAGCTTCAGAGGCACAGAATCAATATTCCTAGGAATAAAAGTGGAAGCCAGGTGTGATGGCACATGCCTGTAAACCAAGCATCTTGGGAGTCTGGTCAATTTAGCAGGACCCTATCTTAAAAGGAAAAAAAAAAAAAAAAAAAGACAAGTTGCAGAATACCTTCATACAAAACATCTGCCTCATATGGTAGTTTCTGGCAGGGAAAAATTTATCCCAAGAAAGAAGGCAAGGTTAGAGCAACTGGTGCTTAAGTGGTCTATTCTCTTTGCTTGGAGAATAAAGATGTTAAGTTAGGAAATTTGGCTTAAAACTATTACAGTCACATTTTATTCTCAGATTACTTGGGTCAATTATATGCTATTGACAAGTTCATCAGCTTTCTCTTTCAATTAAAATTTATGATAGAAATAAAGGTAAGGAGAAACTGAGACTGACTCTGTTTTCCCTTCAACCTCATACTGTTTTAAAATTCTTTGGTTCAAGATCTAAAAGGGTTAGGAATTCTGCCTCAAGACTTTCAACCAACCATTCTATACTTCCGCTCACAGGAGACTTGGCTAACTTACATTGCTTGGGGTTGTGGTGTTTGAAATCCTGGAACTGGCAGGCAGAAAGAGGATGAATCTTTCTGTAAAATGCTCCAGAGCTCAGAGCATACCAATCAAAGAATCTGTCATCCAGGAGGTACCATAAGGAGGGCACTTTCCTTTGTACCCTTTCTCTCACTGTGGCAACTGGTATGAGCAGCCTGTGAGGACTAAAGTGCAATAAACACTCTATGTCAGAGGACCGATCATGTCCAAGGACCAATCTTCTTTTACTACTCTCACACTTCCTAAAAACTTTCAAGCCAAGGCAGATTCCACTGCTTATGTTGTTTAGTCCCTCCCCAATGGCACCAGTAGGCTATCAGACCAATAATACACTTTACAAGGTAATAAGAGATGGGTCACTGTAGCATTATGGCTATATTGCACAATTCAAATAAGTCTACAAAGCCACACACAAAAAAAGCATCATAAAATTATTCACCAAGTTTCCCTCTAAAGTATTTAATACAAGGGATATATGAAATTTCTGACTTATGTCTGCTAAATCAACTTAATGGATGTGGAAATAAGACTGGAAATTTACAAAAACAATTTATGGAATACTTTTACATCTAGTAAAAGGAGAAAACATTTTTAACACAAAGCACAATGTGCTTTTGCATTCCAAATATTGGAAAAACCAAGTCAGATCCCCTTATTTCTCATATACAACAGTTTGATTTTAAACTCAATTAAAATTCAGTAAGCAAACATCAAAGCACATTCAATGAAAAATGGTTCAAGCCACCTGACAGCTACTAAATTCAAGGCTGTCCACAATGGTTTACCTGAATCAGGACAAGAACTCAAAGAAGCAGCTACACTGGAGACATCTGAGAATAAATCAGCAGCATTATTGAGGGTGAGATGGAGGCTTTAAATAGAGGGTCAGGATAGGTGTGGGAAGGATAAGGTGATATCAGTACAAAAAACAAAAACAAAACAAAAAATACCCTGAAATCACCTCAGTGGGGCTGATGAACGCAATGTAAAAATATTGATGTAACAAACTCTGCTAGAAAATGAAATGGATAAAACTATGAGAAGGCTGTAAAAAGTAAATGATCTGTATATTCAAGAACTTTCTCCAGAGACACTTCAATAATTTCTTCTTGCTCGCCCATAGCCTCACAGCAACAGCTTTAAGGGAAGCTTTTTTACTTATGCTAAATCTCTTCTGTTTACTCTGTATTTTTTCATTATAAAAGACATATTTGAGAGTGGCTATGAAATTAGACAAATGGACCAATAAGGTTTTCCTAAGGAAAATTTTTCCCATGTGAAGCTTTTCTGAATTCTCAAAATCATTTCAGAGCTGGGTGTGGTTATGCATGCCTGTAATCCCAGCAACTTGGGAGGCCGAGGAAGGAGGGTCACAAGTTCAAAGCCAGCCTCAGTAACTTAGTGAGGCCCTAAGCAACCTAATGAGATCCTACCTCAAAAAAATAAAAAAGGCCGGAGGATGTAGCTTAGTGGTTAAGTGCCTCTGGGTTTAGCTTAGTGATAGAATGCTTGCCTAGCATACTAGCATACATAAAGCCCTGGATTCAAGCTCCATACCAGTACCACAAGGAAAAAAAAAAAAAAAAAAGTATTTCAAAGGCTGAAACAGGAAACATTCTGATGTCAGGATCCTTCCCACCTGACCAAACTTACCATGTAATCCTAGCATATTCATCATCTGGTGTAGGTGTAAATTAGCATAAATAATGTGTATTTTCTTCCAAGCTTGATGGGCCTGAAGCTTCCTGAGAAAGAACAAGGCTCTTGCCTGACCATAAGTCATACCCTTGGACTTTTGTTCTCTTTCACTTGACTTGTTTTTGGCTCAGATGGGCTGAAATTTGACTTCATAGCAGGTAACACCAATGCAAGCCTAGAACCTGCACATGGGTACACCCTTTGCGGAGAGAAACAGCATTTTCAAGACTTTTGATATACCAGTGAATAATAGGGTTGCTGAAACTTTTAAGTAAAGAAGTTAATAGTCTCAACTCAGGCAATTAAAATCTATATTTACTGTCTGATCTAGGTTTTACTGTCAGTTCGCTTAGGCATTAAAAAAAATAGGCATACTTTAGAGCAGATGGCCTGTAAAGGTTTCTCTCTGAACCAGCTACCTGAGGATCTGAATATTATTAACCACATCTGGAAGTATGCATATATGTATTTGTATGTGTGGCATACATCCAGGAGAGTGGGTTTCTAAAAAATATATTCCTGTGAGGCACAGAAGTCCACACCTTTAATCTCAGTAACTGAATAGGCTAAGGCAGGAGGATCACAAGTTCAAGGCCAGCCTAGGCAACTTAGTGAGACTGTCTTAAAAAAAGAAAAAAAAAAAAAGGCTGAGGATATATTTAGTGGTAAAACGCCCCTGGGTTCAATCCCCAGTCACATACAAAAATAATAAAAAAAATAAATTAAAAAATATTCCTGTTGGATGCAGTGGTGTGAGCCCATAGGCCCAGCTCCTTGGGAGGATCATTTAAACCCAGGAGTTCACAATCAGACTGGGTAACATAGGGAGACCCCCATCTCAAAAAAACAAGAGGGAGAGAAAGGAAGGTAGTGGTGGGGAGACAGAGAAAGAGGCGGAGAGGGAGAGAGAGAAAGAGAATAAATATTCCTTATAATTTGAAAAGAAGATAAGGAGAAGGAGGAATGGAAAAAAATAATCTGAACTTTTAAAAGGGCATAATAAAATAGGATTTAAATTATATTTAATGTGGTAAAATACATTTAATGTGGACCCTTTCATTTGATCATTTTCTACATCAATGGTATAAATAAATCAGACTTTTTCTTATATATGCTGGTAGAACTAGTACCTTCGGCATTTAAAAAAAAACACTTTTAATAATAAGGATCATTCAAAAGATGATCTAATATCATAGTGGATTGCACATTAATGCCTTAAAAGATCCCTTACCCCAAATCACCCTATTAAAAAAATTATATAAGGTTTCTAATCTTGGGGTTCAGAAATCTTCTGAAATCTTCCCTCATCCTCTATGATTTTCTTTGGGGGGGGGGAGACTTTTTTTTTTTGACTTTTTTTGAATCATGGGTTCTGAACTCCTTTCCTCAGCCAGGTGCCTGGACAGACAGTAAACTCTTACTTCCTCTCAGAGTGTTCTTTCAGCTGCTCCAATGCCTTCACTTGGCTACTTACCCTGTTAACACTGATGTTATATGGCCATTCTTATATTCCTGATGAGCTGTGATGGGGGAAAAAAGAAACTGACTGGCTAGTCTGCAAAGATCCTCTAGCAGCATTCCTGATACTCTTCACTAACTGCATTTCTTTATTAAGTTAGTGGAGTTTGACAGAAAAATTTGCAGGGGGAATACTGGGGATATCATGCAAATTATCATGTATCGTAAGATAAAACAGAAATAAAAAGGCAAAATCTGTTTTCATCAAAATAGTTTTAGCTTGATTGCTTCTCATAACTTTTCTTACTTTTGTTAAGATTTCCCTTCAGAATGGCAAAGATTCAGGCAGGGTCCCCTAATGGTAAAAATTAGAATTAAAAAAATATTTATTGATTTTTTTTTCAAAAATGTTTGATAACCCAAACTAATCATCCAAAATGCAAACTGTAAACACAAAAGAGTAACAGTTGAGTGTGAGTAGACAGACTATGAACAGGTATGACAGACTGAGCAAAAGTACAGAAAGGAGGAAGGGAGAAAGGAAGACAGATGCATAAGTGTGATACAGATAGTGACAATTTGAGTGAATAAGTAATCATGTTTGGACCACAGTGATTTCAATGTAGCCATTTAGGAAACCCCTGGGCCAAATACTAAAACACGGCAGGAATGGACAAGCCTTCTTTGTGAGCATGCTCAGCATGTTGGCATAGAAACAGGAAGCACAGAAGCTCTGTAGTCATCTTACAATGGATGGCTACCATTTCTAGGATGCAAATAAATTTTCTTTCTGGTCCCTGGATACATCATTTGTTGTTTTTCCATGCTTCCCTTGACCCTGAAGGACTGTAGTTACTGTTCCAAAATCCCCAAAGAAACCCCTTAACAAAATAAAGAAACCACAGTAGCAGTAACAATGGGTTTGCTGGAATGCCCCCTCCCTCTACCTTGGCCTATGATTTTCTTCTGGGCATGTCCAATGGAAATGGTTAAGTTTTACCAATCCACTTAAAGCCAGCACAAATTTTAGTCCCATGGTCACAGAGCTAGAGTGGATGGGAGTAAGGGTGTGTATGCATATGTATGTGTGGCTCTGGGGATCTGAACACTGCCCTCACTTTGTAATCCTTGTCCAGAACACGGGTTGCTTCCTCTGGAGAGACTCCACGGTAACTCTAGAAGTGTCAGTTAAATATTCAGTTCACCAAAGTTGACCACCTCCATTGTCATAGGATGATGCAGCATCTGCAGAAGCGCTGTCTGCTGCCCCCTACTGATGGGGGTGGAGTGACAGGTGCGAAGTAGGCATGGACTTTAATATTGGGTAAATGGGTCTGAAACAAGACAGAAACATTACTAAGATAGAGAACATTGCTTCCGAGAAAAACCACTGAGGGGCTGAATGGACATGAAAGCAGGGCAGAAGATTTGTTCCCTTCTATGCTGTTCTAAATAATCAAGTCAACTCATAACTTCTTTTTTTGGTACCAGGAATTGAACCCAAGGGTACTTAACCACTGAGCCATATTCCCAGCCCATTTTATTATAAATTTTGAGACAGAGTCTTGCTAAGTTGCTCAGGGCCTCACTAAATTGCCAAGGCTGCCTTTTAACTTGCAATCCTCCTGCCTCAGCCTCCCAAATTGCTGGGATTACAGGTGTGTACCACTATGCTCAGCTCAACTCATAACTTTGATACTTTTTTTTTTTTTTTTAAATTGTCACCATTTTATTAGCAGGAGATAGGGGCCAACTGCTTTTGCTCTGTGGTTGGTCAGCAGCCATGGGGAGGCAGAGTGCCTGCTGTGTGCCTCAGGCCTTCACTTCCATGCCTGCCTGCTTTCTAGCTTGGGTGTTTAAGGTAACATTTATTTTCAACTGGCAAATTCTGACGCCAAGGGTATTGTGGCAACTGCTCACTTAGGTTTCAAAATACCACTGATCACGGGCTGGGATTGTGGCTCCCCTAGCACGGGCACGACCTAGGTTCGATTCTCAGCACCACATAAAAATAAAATAAAGATGTTGTGTCCACTGAAAACTAAAAATAAATATTAAAAAAATTCTCTCTCTCTCTCTAAGAATACCATTGTTCACACTCTTCACAGAATCAGACACCTTTCTACTGAGTTTGATAACTGTTTTTAACAAAACTGGAGAACATAGGTGTGATGTATCATGCCTATAATTCCAGAGACTTGTCTCAGGGTTCAACACCTACTTAAAAAAAAAAAAAAAAAAAGACTGAGGATACAGTTGAATGGCAAAACGCTGCTGGGTTCAATCCCCAGTACTTGAATAAATTAAAAAACAAAAATCAGAAAAAGGGTTTGATGTAAAGAGGAAAAAAAGGCTGAATTTATAAATCCTATTATTTAACCAAACATTTTATATTAGTTCTTTCCTTTCCTTTAGAACCAAAATCTGGTATGTGCTTCTTTTTTTTTTTTTCTTTTTTCTTTTTTTGACTCTGGGGATGTGATTAAGCTCTGGACATTACTGGACAAACTGCTGGGAGAAGACCTACTTTATCTCTTCAGTGGGTATTGTTCTACTAAATTTCCATCTGGAGCCACAGGTAAAAATTATCTACCCTTACATTTTCTCTCCATTTTTTTCCCTCCTTACTAAATGTCCAAATAAATATAAAAATCACGAGAATCTAAGTTTGGAAAAATAAAAATAAAAGAAAATGAAGGAAAATAAAAGAAAGGGTGGTGAGAACATCAGAGCTGGAGAGTGAGGAAGCCATTTTTACCCTGAGTCTCTTGATTCCAGCCCGTGTGATTTGCTGGCAGTCATATAGTTCTATCCGCTCAAGGCTGTGACAGCTCTTCAAGTGCTCCAAGGATGCATCTGTGATTAGTGGGCAGTTGTCCAGCTCAATCACCTCCAGCTGGTCATGGGCGCAGGCCCCATTTCCTAGGTGACGAATTCCATCGTCTGTGATCAGTTCACAGTGAGATAGACTCTGTGGCCAAATACAGCAAAGAAGGATGCTGAAATATTTTCCGGAAGTCAGTTAGCCAGAAACTTGTGTACAATCAGATAGAAGACCTTTTTGGTTTGATTTTGATGATTATGGAACTATCACTAGATCCATGTGTGATGAAACAAAGAATGTAAAATAGAGTTGCATGGGTTCTGCTTTTGGCAACCAATGACTGATATTTTTGTGTGTGATTCTAAACATATTTTGTAAATTCACATAATGACCATGAACTACTTCATAAACAAAGTTACATAACTTTAAAAATTACCCTCTACCCAATCAACACTTTTCTTCTCCAAGGGGATAAGCAGAGATCAAACTTTTCATGTACAAACTTTTCATTTCCTGAAATAAAAATTGAATATCAAGTGCAGGGGTACGACCCAACAATTAATTAGCTGAAGACAATTTTTACAGCTGTTAGGTATGACCATCTCACATGTAACTCTTCATCAATTTTCCTTAGGTTTCTGAATCTGAGACACTTGGAATCCTTGGCCCAATTTTGGATATTACCTTTTGACCAAATACACCACAATGAGCCTGGATACGATCAACCAAAATCCCTTCCTCAAAGTAGTACCAAGGAGAACTTCCCCTGTAAAGCCTGATTGGTCCCCATTTTACTTTTTAGATCTTTCCTAGATCTTTTGGAAGTTGGCAATTTTGAGAAGCATACTCCCTTACCAAAAACTAGTAGCCAGACAGTTAAGAGGAAAACAAGAGCTAGATCTTATTTAATTAGAACTACAGTACTGTTTTTATTTTGTTTGTTGTTGTTGGGGTAGGGAGTACCAGGGATTGAACTCAGGGGCACTCAACCACTGAGCCACACACCCCCAGCCCTTCTTTGTATTTTATTCAGAGACAGGGTCTCACTAAGTTGTTTACTCCCTTGATTTTGCTGAGGCTGGATTTGACACCGAGATCCTCTGCCTCAGTCTCCCAAGCTGCTGGGATTACAGGCGTGAGCCACCACGCCTGGCAGTATTGTTTTGATTAAGCCAAACAAACATCTTTAACCTTGAAAGTCAAACTCACCAATACTTGAAGCCGAGGACAGTGTATAGAAAGTTGGATTAATGTGCTATCTGTTATCTGAAAGAAACACATGTTTATTTTAGGCATAATTCTAAATAAAACTACAGATTATACTTCATTCTTACTGTATTTCTATCTAGACATCATCAAATAACAGAATCTTTAGGTTTAAGTCTCATAGACTACCTGAGTCTATTCTTTTTTTTAAAAAAATACTTGTGAGTGTTCTAATGCTGAGCCCCAACCCTAGCCCTATCTGAGTGTATTCTGTAAGAACTCCCTAGGCTAGACTTGAACACATTTAGGTTTCTCTAAAAGCCTTCATCTTTTTTTTTTTTTTTTTTGGTGGCAGTGGTGGTGATGGTACTAGGGATTGAATCTAAGGCCTGTGCATGTTAAGCAAACACCCCAGTATTGAGCTACTATTATCTAAAAGAAACACATGTTTATTTTAGGCATAATTCTAAATAAAACTACAGGTTATACTTCATTCTTACTGTATTTCTAGTCTTTTGAAAATTTTATTTTGAGAAAGGATCTTGCTATGTTGTCCAGGCTGACCTTGAATTTGCAATCCTGGGTGTTTCCTGAGTAGCCTGTATTATAGGGGTGTTCCACTGCATCTGGCTCTAGTCTTCATCTTTGAATATTTTCGCTGAAAATTGTTTTGTTTTTGAAATGAAATCGAAATATTGTCCCCTTGTTACTTCTATCCACTTCTTGGAACCATCAAAGAAAATAATCAGAAGAAAGTGCTGAACTGGGTGCAGTGGCACAAGCCTATAATCCCAGCACTCAGGAGGAGGCTGAGGCAAGACCATTCCAAGTTCAAAGACCGCCTCAGAAACTTAGTGAGGCCTGAGACCTTGTCTCAAAAAATAAAATGGCTGGGGATGTGATCAGTGGTAAGGTGCCTCTGGGTTCTATCCTCAATACAAAACAAACAAACAAACAAATAAATAATAAAGTACTCCATGAAAAAGAAAAAAATTAAAATCAAAGCATCCTCAAATTTTTGGATATGTGACCTATTTTTTATTATTAATTTATTTATTTTTGTAGCACCAGGGAATTAACCCAGGGTTGCTCTACCACTGAGCTTTATCCCTGGCTGTTTTTTATTTTTAATTTTGAGACAGGATCTTGCTAAATTGCTGAGGCTGGTCTTAAACTTTGTAGATTCCTGCCACAGTCTTCCAAGACACTGGGATCACAAGTGAGAACTACCTGACCTGCTTGATATTTGGCCTCATTTTAATAAGGCACACTACAACTCAGAACTGATAACATGGATGTTAGTTATGTTACCAAGGGAGGCAGATAGGCACTGCTAGGATCAGGGTAAACTATGTACATTCAGGGAGGAAAAACGGCTTTTTTTAGTTATCACAGGAATGAAAGCAAATCAGTGCTTCTTTTCAAATTCATCTTCAATTCTTTAAGAAATTGTGGATGGAGCAGGTCCATTCAGAAGGACTACCTCTGGAAAGGACATAGAAGACACTCAGGTGTGTACAAGAGATAAACAGAGGCTGGATGCTGTGGTGCATGTCTGTAATCTCAGCAATTTGGAAAGCTGAGGCAGAAGGATCACCAATTTGAGGCCAGTCTCAGCAATCTAGTGAGACCCACTCTCCAAAAACAAAACAAAACAAAACAAACAAATAAACAAAGGGCTGGGGAATGTTGTTCTGTAATTAAAAAAGTATTTTTCTTTCTTTATTTTATGTTTGGGGATACTGGGGATTGAACCCAGGGGCACTTTTACCATTGAACTACATTCTAATCCTTTTTTTTTTTTTTTTAATCGAGACAGGGTCTTGTTGCTGAGGCTGGCTGCCCTTGAACTTGGAATTGTTATGCCTCATATTCCTGAATCAGTGGGATTACAGGTATACGTTGCTGCATCCAGCTTTATTTATTTATTTTTAAATGTGGTTTGGCTATGCTTTCCAGGCTGACATAAACTCTTGGGCTCAAGAGATCCTCCTGCCCCTTGAGTAGCTGGAACTACCATAGTGCACCACCACACTTGGCAAAAGAAAATACCTTAACAGCTTTATGGCCTGATCACTTAGGTGTCCTTTCTAATGGTGACATGATTGATGGAATGTATTTTCATAGTTCTTTAACACCTATGCCATAAGCACTTCTGCCTAGTGTGCCTAGAAGACACATCAATAAAGGAAGAATCAGGGTTGCCAGGTATTTCAGCGTCCTACACTAAGGTAGGGAATGGACATTCTGATATGCATGTATTATGTAATTAGTTTCTATCACACTGTATTTATGAATATAAATCCACAATCTTACCTGAACACATTCTTCCAGGTCCATCTTTTCAAGCTCATGGCAATTCTACAAAGTATAAAACCAAACAATACAATACAACCATTTAAACAAGGGAAAACTTTAAGGCCAGAAAACTGAAAGTTTATATTAAATATACTGATGAAATCTTAGTTTTTCAGATTTGGTATCATCCTAGTGTCACTTTCTATTTTATTCCATTAATTACACATTTTATGCTTTGATCATAGTGAAATATCTCAATTATCCCACATTTAAATATTTATTATCTTAAATGTTCAAGGGAATAAATTTGCCGAACAGTAACACTGGGCCAATATAGAGATATTTTCAATCATAAATAATTCAATAAAAACTGTTTCTTGGGAAGAGTTCAGGAAGCAAGCTTAACTTTAGTTAAGTGTCTTGGCTTTTTACCCAACTCCATTGATCTACCTGAAAGCAAATTACCTCCCCCTTGTTCTATAACATTGGTCAAAGTCAGTATAATTTTAAATGACATTATTATATACTGATTTATAAACCATTCCAAGTCTAATATTCAGAATACAGAAAATAATTAAAGCCTCTCCATTTAAAAACCAGGCTTTCAACACTGCTGTCACCTACTAGTCACATATCAAATAACAAGTTTCTTTCAGCTGTTTAATTTATCATCTTATGAAACTGTGGAGAACTTTAGTTTCATGGAGGAGTGTCATGCTCCCCAATGCATGTCTGAATTTCCAGAACAGTTTGTTTTCTTACTGGTATCAACAGGTCTGTAGCTGTAGCATGAGAATGCTCAGGAAGACTAGCTACAGAAGAAGGCCCCCTTCTCACACACCTAATTCTGCTATGCTACACTTCCCTTGCTACTTGTTCTTCTGAAATAAAAATACCCAACAAAACATAAGAAAATAAACCTATGAAACCTGGAGAAAACACTTACTCTGGCTAGAGTGGTAAAGCCCACATCTGTTAATTGAGAACATCTTGCCACTTCTAATATTCTGTTAAAAAAAAAAAAAACAACACCAAAAAAGTGGAAGTCAAGCTATGGGTCCCTAAAAATTGGTTTTATTAAAACAAAATTTAAGAAAATAATTTACTATTCTCTAAGGATTTCATAATATAGAGAGACATTAATAGCTAAGCAAGTCTATATATAGATCTTGCTATTTATTGTTGTGGAGTCATCATAAAGTGGTCCTATAAATACCACATTTCAGGGTGATGCAATCAAAGAACACAGAGGAATAAAATTGAAGCTTGTAGTTATGCCACAATGCATTAAAAGCCTTTTCTTGATGGCATACTGCTTACCCCCAGAGGGCAGCCTGCTCCTAGAAAACAAAGGAAATGGCGATAAATATTCTATATTATTTAATCTGTTACTGAAGTAAGATTTTCTTTCCGTTTTACATGTGGGTTCACTCAGATTTCAATACCTTTTAAAAAATGTAATGAAGGGACTGTTTAATTACAGTTCTGTCCCAAATATGAAAATCCATACTTAGAAAGCTTTCTGCTTCCTCCCATAGGCTCCCAGGGGAACCCAGTGAAAAGGGAAGCTGGGCTAGCAGCTACTCTCCTATTTAGCAACTGTTACACACCAACCTAAACACCAACTAAAGGCTTGGGAATCAAAAGTAGCTCTTTTCTGTGAAAAGTTTGGTGACATTTGTACTGTACAATGGTACCTAGTAACACCTATTTACTATCATAGTTAGTATAAGAAATCATCAACTGAAAAGCAATTAGAAATGAATGCTGTATCCAATGAGAGAGCAACTAACTGAAACACATTTTGTGATGGTCACATTTGACAGCCTTTCCAGGCTAATGATATAATGAGGTTATATCATTAGAGGGAGGATGGAGCTGAATACCCCTTGCTTTAATACAGGAAAGGATAGTGTTTAATATTTTAGAGAGAGGTCTGGTTACTTCCCTATCTCCTAAGAAGTACTCTGTTTTAGACTTCTGATATTATTGATTTTGACCAAAACGAATCTATCATCTATGAAGGAATTTTGATACTGAAGGCAAAATGTTCACCAGTTAAAAAAGTTTTTTTTTATAAATTTTATTGCTTTACAATGATTATTATGTGAAAAGTAGTTTCATGGGCTCTGGAGCCAGACTGCCTGGCTTTGAATCCTTGCTCCTGCACTTACTGGCTGTGACACCCTGAGCAGTTTACTTAACTTTTTGGTGCTTGGTTTACTCATTTACAATTTGATGATAACAATACTGGTTATATGATGTTAGAAAGATTAAATGAATTAACATTTGTAAAGTACCTAAAACAATGCTTAACTTCTAAGTATTATATAGGTAATATTTAAAACAAAATCAAAACCAAAAAGGTATATGGGGATCATCTCTATTCATTACAAGATTCTCAAGTGCTCTTTACAAAATCAATACGGATTTTATACTATCTTACATACTAATACAGAATTCTTAATAGATAACCAGCCAATCCCATATATGAGCAAAGAGAAGGAGCCACAGAAAAATAAAGCTGTTCTAAAAGACTGTCAACACAAAAAGTTTCTCTTGTAAAGCTGTTTCTTCTTTTTGAATACGGTCTGCTATATACCTGGCATCATAACTAAAAATATAAATGACCCGAGAGTGAGCCTTTAAAATTATCTTTGAGAAAAGAATTATATAAAGCATTAATTAAAGAAAATATCTTTATTTCATTAAAAACATTTTTTTAGATGTTGATGAATCTTTATTTTTTTATTCATTTATTTACATGTGGTCCTGAGAATTGAACCCAGTGTCTTACCCAGTGTCTTACACATGATAGGCAAATGCTCTACCACCGAGCCACAACCCAGCACCTTATTTCATTTACTTACTTACTTACTTATTTATTTTTATGTGGTGCTGAGGATTGAACCCAGGGCCTCTCATGTGCTAGGTGAGTGCGCTACCACTGAGCCACAATCCCAGCCCCCTTATTTCATTCTTTAGTAATGAAATAAATGCTTTTTTTCTTTTCTTTTCTAGTATGAGTAGAAAGTAGAATTTTGGAACCATTGTTTCTTGGTTCATGCCAATTACACATAATGAAGTACAAAGCAAGTAGGTGGACATCAAAAAGGACAATGACTTGTAGTGTCTATCTTAAAATTTCAAAGTTCCAAAGAATAAATGAGTGAAGTAGACTTTTGTTCTTTTTCCTTGATTTTTTTGAACTAGAGAAGAAATGTTTACCTAAGCCGAGGGCAGTTCTGACCTAGAGCATTCAGGATGGCATCTGTGATGTTGGAGCAGCCAGAGGCACAGAGGGACTGTAACTTATGGCACCCTCTGCAAATAGTAATGAGGCCTTCATCTGTGATTTGCTAAAAAAACAAGGGGAAAAAAAAAAACAACCCCACAGGTATTAGTAATTTAGCAGACGAAAAATAAGAAAAAAATAACATCTCTGTGAAAACAACACCAAAAAGAAATCTAGGCAGGTTTGATATTAATCAGATAGTAAACCTAAAAGAAAATGAACACACTTTGTTTCTTCTTTCTAGTTCCTTTAGATTTAGTTGCAAGAGAATCTGGGTTTGCTTTTGGTATAAAGGCAAGAAGCTATAATGGGATTCTTTTAACTTAATAAGAATGGAAATAAGCATGGGGTAAATTCAATTAAATGATTTTAAAATCTAGAAAACCGACAAGAACTGCTGTATTTTAATAGTATAAATATATTTTTTTACAAGTTCAAACTGAAACTGGTTGGAGGAAAAAATAAAACTGTGGCTGGGTATAGAGGCACAGGCCTGTAATATCAATGACACAGGAGGCGGCTAAGGTAGGAGATTGTAAGTTTGAGGTCAGTTTCAGTAACTTAGTGAGGACCCAAGTAACTTAGGGAGATCCTGTCTCAAAATGAAAAAAAAGCTGGGCACGATGGGTCGGGAGACTGAGACAGGAGGATTGTAAGTTCAAAGCCAGCCTCAGCAATGGCGAGGCTCTTAGCACCTCACTGAACCCTGTCTTTCAATAAAATACAAAAATAGGGCTGGGGATATGGCTCAGTGTTTGAGTGCCCCAGAGTTCAACCCCCAGTACCAAAAAGATAAAAAATAAAAAATAATAATGAAATAATAATGATGATAATAATAATGAAATGCCTGGAAAAATAAAAATAAAACCCGAAAAATGCTGGGGATATAGCTCAGTTGAAAAATGCCCCTTGGTTCAATCCCGAGGACCCAAAACAAACAAGCAAAAACAACAC